TTTATTAGCAAATTTGGTTAATGATTTAACAATTCTCCACCATTTACCAGGAGGAATAGTTTTATCTAAGATTTGTGATGTAATGTTTTGTTTGTAAGTATTCTTTGCCTGGCGTACCATTGCTATAACTTCATTTCTTAGTCTCCGATATTTAATACGCGCGTGTGTGTGTTGGGGTGTTGGGGGAGATTGGTCGTAAACTAAAAGTAAAGGTGAGATGGACCCTTCATTTATCAAAACTTCTATCATAGATTAATAGCAATAAACTTAACTCCGGAAAATATCGAGGGACCATCCCCTCCCGATATTTTCTTATATACTACATGCTGTTACGAGACTACGAAACTATTGACATGTTTTTATGTTCTGAGCGGCACTAAATATCGTATAATTTTAAAAATGCAAACATCAAAATATACTGAGGTCACATGTACAACTAAATGGGTTGCCTTTTTTTATGTTTTCTATTTTCTTTCAGTTTGCTATAATTTAATGTCTCCAAATTTCTATATTCATCAATAATTGTCAATGAAACAAGTGTTCATTGTAAGTTAGGATGTCCTTACTTAAGATCTTCCTAAGTTATCGTCGACATAAATCTTGTAATATGTCTTCGTATGTTCCTTACTGTCTTCCTAAGTCGTATCTTAGGAATAATCTTTTGCGGTTTCACTAGGTTAATAAATGGGACAATGTACAGTGTAGTTCATGTGTGGAAAAATATCCATGATGTGAATAATAAATATTTTAGAAATATTCTCGGATTAATCAATAATACTGTTATGGTATCTAAAAGTACAAAAATTAAGTGAGAAAAAACGATATTCTCTTATTGTCCTTATGCATGGAAATGTGAAATTGTGAATCATGAAATCCTGTAAATAGCAAAAACACACCACGTATGAGTCATATTGATTTCTCGTTGTTATGACGAACGATCAGGTACAAAACACTGAATGTTTTTTGTTTCAAGATGATGTCTGGATGAATTTACCTGCTTTAATGAGTTGAACATGTGACTGAATGAATATACTTAGGCCTTTCAACTGCCGCTAGGGGTCGGTTTTACGAACGATAATTCACTACTGAAACTTGTTTAGAGCAGGCTCGGGGTATCTAAATGTTTACACGCAAGGCAGTTTTTAGCAAGTGTTTCATTGCTCTCAGTAGAATCCAGTGGTTTTAAAATTTAGCAACAATGTTAAACTTTTTTACTGTATAGTCGCGGATACCGGTTTACTGCATATAATTAAAATTTTCAATTAAAGTGAAAGCTACCTTCCATCGCAGTTCTAACCTGTTTGAATTTTTATACTCGGTCGTTCCCCTTCGTGCTTAGTAACACAAATAAGATGATCAATTGTTGCATTTACTTGTAAAAATATATATATTTACACAGGAAGCGAAAAAGCGCGAACACAAATAACATGACATTTAATTTTCTTCTTCATAATAATCGTCAAAGAGAGTTAAAACTATTGAATATAGTCTGTTCCCCATTCATTTGACCCTGTTATTTCAGATAGAGTGAAGGCATTCTCTTTCTCTTGGTCAAAACTTTTGTGTACAAAACAATGTAAGGAACCCTTTTGTGTATATAACAATACCAATGCTGAAGCAGCCTATATGTCATATCTATAAACGATAACTCATAAATCGGCACTAAGTTGGTCATTTTTCACACTTGAGTCACCTGTCCTTAAACACAACATCGGAAAAGTCAATTATAATTGATTAAACTTTTTAATGATGTAATTTAAAGTATGCATAATTTATTATCTTTTTTGATAATTTCATGTACCTATAAATCTATCTATACAATGTTTTTTTTCCATATGTGCAACTTGAAAAATTAGTTGAAAGGCCTGATATACTTTTTATCCTTCATCTTTCTAATGATCGCTCAGGTGACGTATTTCTATTTTTTGTTCGGTTAAGCATATTGCTCCGCCTTATCGTCACTTAGTCTGTATGGTTGGTCGTTCTTTTAGCTCACCTCAGCCGAAGGCTCAAGTGATCTTTTCTGATCATAATTTGTCTGTTGTCTGTCGTCGTTGTCGTCGTCGTCGTTGTTGTTATCGTTGTAAACTTTTCACTTTTTCATCTTCTTCTCAAGAATCACTTGGCCAATTTCTACCACACTTGCTACAAAGTATCCTTGAGAAAAGGGAATTTAAGTTTGTTCAAATGAAGAGCCACGCCTTCTTCCAAGGGGAGATAATTATGAAGTAGAGATAAATTAATGGCATTAAAAAAACCTCTTCTTAAGAACCATTAAAGATTTATATGGAAATATATAGGAATAATCTTTAAAAAAATCTTCTTCTAAGGTGCCATTGAGACAGAAAAGATGAAACTCATATGAAATCATCCTCAGGTAGTGTATATTCATGTTTCTTCAAAGCATGTCCCCCGGAAGAAGGGTGGAGCCAAAATGGCCGATCAAAGTTTTACATCGGAATAGATAGGGAAAATCTTTAAAAAATCTTCTCAAGAGCCATTGAGACAGGAAAGATGAAACTAATGTTAAATTATCCTAAGGTAGTGTAGATTCAAATTTGTTCAAATCATGACCCCCGTGGGGTGGGGCCAAAATAGCCGATCAAAGAATCAAGGATCAAGGAATATACCGGTATAACTTTTAAAATCCTCTTTTTAAGTACTTTTATGTCACGAATAGTGGTATTTATATAGAATCATCCTCAGGTAGTGTAGATTCTAGTTTGTTCAAATTATAACCCCCAGAGATAGGGTGGGGCCACAATGGGAGATCCAAGTTTTACATTATAATATGTTTTTAAAAAATCTTCTCAAGAATAGCAAAGCCATGATTAGTGATATCAGTATTCATATGGAAGCATTCGCAGGTAGTGTACAGTGTAGAATTAAATGTGTTCAAATCATAACCCCCAAAGGTAGGGTGGGACAACAATGTTTGATCAAAGTTTTAAATGGAAAAATAAAGGGGAAAATCTTTAGAACAGAAAAGCTATCTTAAAGACCCTCTCTACACTGCACCCTAATTTCAGGGTACTTGCGTGTAGTTAGACTGATCCACCATTTGACATAAAAAAGAATAAATTGTAATTTGCACTGTATGACAAAATTTTAAATAAATCCATGTATTCTAAACATTATATTAGACTAAGATAGAGTAATTGAAATCTTTATCTGGATGTATTTTCTCCATTTGAATAATCAAAAGCATTTTTGCTTTGTCATTACTTCACTGTCTTCAAAGATTTTTCCTGGATAAAGAAGGCACGCTCCCTATATTAGGAATGGATTAGTTTATTTCAAAATAGCCTCCTTTACACTGTATAATTTTCTCAAAGTCCAAAAAAACATTTTTTGTCAGTGTATAGAGGGTTCTTAAGTGATATTTGCATTTAATTATAAGCATCATCATGCATTGAATATTTACATTAAATTTTTGAAAAATCATGGCCCTTTGGGGTAGGGAAGGAAACAATGGGGAATCAAATTCAAATTATTACGAAGTAATATACAGGAACAAAGTGTTTAAAAAGATTTTTTTTCAAGAACAGCAAAGTCATATCCTGTAATGATATGAAGGCATTATCAAATGGTGTTAAAATTTAAGCCCCCTCCTCCTCCCCCTCAGTTAACTTTCAGTTCTGATCTGATATGTGCTTTTTCCTACCCTATGTGCTCAAGTGAGTGATGTGGACCCTGGGCATCTTGTTAGTTTACTTTTTTATTCACAGACCCTAATACATAGCTTTACAATACTAGTATATATTTTCTGTATTTTTATGAGAGAGAGAGGGGGAGACGGGGAGAGAGAGGGGGATAGTATGATAAAGAGTAGAAAGGTTACATGTAAAAAAGATTCATCACTAAAATTATAAAACTAAAGCCGAGCTCGTTGCAAAGCAACGAGTAGGTCTTCCGTTAGAGCTGTGGACAGGGAGAAATGACCTTGAGTCAAGGTAATGCCACATTCTAATGTTAAAGCAATCTTTAAAAGGTAGATATCATTTTATAATGTTTTACTATTAAAAAAAGATAGATCGAGAGTTCAACCCCGAGTGAGGTGGAAATGGGTATCCCAATAAAAAAAATTCTGTGACTTTTTTATATTTCTTCACGTAAGGCAGTTAGTTTAAAAGTTGTACAATGTGCTTATTATCGTGATATTTTCCATCATAGAACATTCATATTTACTTAGGTCATGATTCCGGGGCTAATGAAATAGATAAAATTTATTAAGCAGTTTTTCAATTTCGATTGTCTTATATGAAGTATAGAAGTAGACACACAAGGGTAAAGTACATATTGGATTGATTGATTGATTTATTGATCGATTGATTGATTGTGTATTGTTTATTGTCCCTCTCGAGAATTTTTCACTCATATGGAGACGCCACCACTTGCCGGTGGAGAGCTGCAAACTTTGTCCTATACTAGGACTCAGGGCCATTGAGCAGGGAGGGATCTTTTTCGTGCCAGCACCTACTGCGACACGGGACCTCGGATAATACGGCCTAATCAGAAGAACCGGTCCCCACGTCCCACAGTGGGATTCAAACCTGCGACGTAAGGATTGACTCCTTACTTCGCGACTCTGGATCAGACGCTCTAACCACTGCGCCACGCGAGCGACAGTACATACTGGAAGAGAAAAAGTTAAATTGAGAAAAGAAGAATACCACGAACGTCTATGACTTACTATGTTTTTTTTGGACTTTTGATCTTGAATACTGATCGTTATCTCCATGTTTCATAATAACTATAAATTCATGATGATACTTTAATTGTACTTTTTTTAAACAATTGTAACAGTCATACTTTATTTCACTCATTTTTTTTTTACAAAATGATCTTTTTGGTTCTTTGTATTTTAATAGATTACTAGTGTATCTATGTTTTGAAATTGGGTTTCAAAAACATAAACCAAATACAGAAAATGTGTCGCTTCAATAAATACAAGAATAACTGATAAATAGTAGAAAAGCAAGTTTTATACAATACATAGGATGTCGGGGGAATGCAAACAATCACAAAGTACTATGGAGTTTGTACCACAATGTCCAAAGGATATGAATGGATGGGATGAAAGAGCAAAATTAAAGGATTGTCCTAGGATTACTAATGGTACTACCTGCAACTATGGAAAACCACTGGTGTATCACTGCCTTCCAAATCCGTACAGAAATTTAAGTATTGAGGTCTGTGCCCCTCGTACCAATATTCCACCAGGTAAACATATAGTACTGGTATATTATAAATTACAAATATGCAAAATGCTATGCGTATACTAGTCTCCTTTTTATTGTTATTGTCTCTTTAGATACCTGTCCCGATTACAGCATCGAAGGGAAGAGGGTAAATGCAGCATATAATTGTTCAGAAAATATAGGATATCCCTGTCCAGATAAGCAATACTGGTCAACAGAAATTATTAATCGTGAGTAATTATGAGTATTATGTCCTTAACTGATTGGCTGTTGATTTCAGATAATTTATAAATATGCCTCTTGTAACATTTTTTTCTACATAAATGTTAAAAAAAAAATTTTGAAAAAAGATTCATAAACTTTTTAACAGTTATTTGTATATTTTATGTAATTTTCAGATCGAGGTTGTTATCAAAGCTTGACGTAAGTAATTTACAACTGTTGATTTAAATACGTTTTGTTTAAAAATCAGCATGGCAGTTAAAAATACAACATGAGCTCTAATGAACTTTTGTCTAACATTTTTAACATATACATAACTGTAGAATTGCATATCACTAAAACAATGAAACATGAATCATAAACTAACTCACCCACCAAATAACATTGATAATAAATATCAGATCCATACCGGAAAACTTTATAAAGCATTGCTATTTAAGTCAGAATATTATTATTTTAAACAGAAAAATAAACTGGGTGCAAATCTTCTCGTTAAAAAATAAAGTACTCATCACACACAAGGGAAAAAAAATATTGAGATTTTTACTCAATAAATAAAGAGATGAATTCACAAGTATTTGTAAATAAGTTATCAAGAACAAACAAGCAATCTGAGAGTATTACAAAGCAATACATGCTCCTTACAGGATTTCCTTTTGGATTTTTAGGATGTCATTTTATAATATCCTATATATTAAAAGTACCACAAAAATGTGGACATTTTTCTCATTTATTCTAGTTTATTATGCACCATAGGCTGCTATGGTCTGGGATAAAAATGGACTTAACTGCTGAAAATATATTTCGCAGTTGGGGTGTGGGGCTTGCTTTTATGATAATACAAAATATGTACATGCAATAAGCTTACTTTGCCGCTTTACTAGGAATCAGCAGGCATATTCACGAAGCTATCTTAGGACTATGGAGTGTACTAAGAACGTCCTAGGAAATGGCTATATCTTAAATTAGTTTCTCAGAGCTTTCCTAAACTGAGGACACCATAAAACTTGTCCTAAGATCATCCTATGTTTGTTTTGATGCTTATGATTTTGGACCTTGTTTAGTATTAGCGACAATTTCTTGTCTCTAAGTAGTCTGTGTACTGAGGAATCATCAATGTTCATGGGTTTCTAATGTTCGAAGATTTTATGGGTCACCCTTATCCACGAATTCACATCTCCACGAACATTTGCTTTATAAACATATTTATTTGTTGAATCTTCTGTATATATGAGTTGCCACGAAATTACGTCCCTAAGAACCAACACAATTTTGCTTAACCACGAACATTGTCCCCCAAGAATTAAAATTATTCCACAGTCTGAGCCGACGATTTACACAAATAATAAAAAAGAGCCTCTTCTTTGCAACATTAGTTACATTTTTTGATAGTTTTAATACAGAGATGATGTTTTCCACCTGATTGAAAAGCATCTGAATTTAGCACTTCAAAATTTCATTTTTTTGTATAACATTATACCCTTTTTCAAGTTATAGTCTGGTCCGCTTTGTAGAAAAAATACTTCTAACGACAAGTGATTATTAGGACTTTTCGCTGTTAACGTCTTGTTTTATTATTATTATACCTAACACATTTATGTCAAGGATTTAAAGAAAACCATTAGATATATGTAATTTATAACAGAAACATTAGACAGCATATCAAGACGACTCTGGTAAGTAAGGTTTTGTACTTCCGGAAACGTCACTTCCGGTATTTTTAAGTCAAAAACTAAATTTTCTTTGAAAGCCCAAACATTCCTTATTTTACATGCAATTTGGTTCCAAATTTAGGAATATATACCTTAAAGTAATATCTACAAAAAAGTCATCGTTAGGGTTTTTGCACCTATGGTACAATTTTGTGATATACGGATCGAAAGTTAAGAAAAGGGGGGAGGGGGGTTTGAAATCTTAAAAGAGGTAGAGCCACTTTGGGCCTTATTTGGCCCTGAGAATTTCTGAAAATTCAAAACTGATCAGTTTAGGTTGCTAATGCAGTATTTATCACCTGAACCGTTGGTGACCACGTATCTATTAATTGTGACGTAATTTCACATCTAGTTAATGCATTATGACGTCATAAAATGCGTCATTTTCCTCATATCCTGTAAATTCCTTTGAAAATGACCTAAAGTTGAATCATTTTTTCAATATTTCGTATAGAGCACAACCTCTGATCCAAAATATGCCAATACATAATGAAAGGCCTATTTCTGAAGATCAAAAAACATGTTTTATTTTTTGGATCGTGGGCTGTGCTCATATTTTAATTCTTTGCTAAAGGTAGTCAATTAAGCATATTTTCTGCAAATTTCAAGAACATTGCAATTTCTAAAAGCCTGTTTTCAAATATTTAGATTCTCAAAACGAAATTTCATTATAGAACATGAAAGCACCAAGTGTCTACTTTATTTTGACGTATGAAAATGGAAAGAGGGTGATAGTTAATTAATTGATATAAGTACAGGGCCATTTTATGCATAAGATGGCTCTTGCTCTTTGAAAACAGTGTAGGAGATTTATTTTGAAGACTACAAATTGTTAATAATAGTAAGTAAAGATTATGATGTAAGTTTCATGTCCATAAGAGCAGAACTGCCGGTTCTATAAGTCTTTTAAAATTGTCAATGGGAGTTTTTATAATAAAAAATCATGCATGTTCCATTATCTCACGAAAGAAGAGAGCGGTTTTGTATTATTTACAGGGAATAATAAATTCAGCATTGTCTTCAGGTGATTAGGTAATGAAAACAAGATCCCTGAAAATTAGGGATTTTTAGGGGTCATACTTAAGAAGGTTTTTCTCCCTGTAACTTTTTTATTTGTCAACCAATTTTCAAACTAATTTCAGTTTTTAGTTAAGCATAAAAAGGGCAATTTAAAAATGATGACTCTAGCATTGTCTTCAGGTAGTTAGGTTATAAAATTATTATTTTTTAAATAAAAGAGATTTTAGGGGTCAGTACAGAAAATAGTTTTTTGTGTGTTAACTTTTTATTCACCCATCAATCTTCAATCTGATTTCTGTTCTGAGCTAAGCATAAAAGGGGCAATTTAAAAATTATGGTCTGTAGGTGTAACTTTTTGACCCTTATAGGTGTTTAAGAGACCTGAAATTTTGCATTTTTTAATCATTTCAAAAATAATTGCATAAAAGTTATCTCTCTTTGTCATTCATCTTGGAGTCTTATATGCTCTCTTTGTTTCAATTTTACCATGCATATGAAGAGTTCTTCCGGTTCTGTGAGTCCCTTAAAACTGCCAACGGAGCTTTTTATGTAAAATTTGAAATCAAGCCTGTTCCATTATCTCAGAAATCATTCAAGCAATTCTTGTGATATTTCATAAGAATAATGACTGTATCATTGTCTTCAGGTGGTAAGGTTATGAAACCATAATTTCTTAAAATGAAAGGGATTTTAGGGGTCAGTACAGAAAAATAGTTTTTCCATGTAACTTTTTTATTTACCCACCAATCTTCAAACTGATTTCGGTTTGTAGTTAAGCATAAGAAGGGCAATTCCAAAATAATGGTCCGTAGGGGTCATTTTCCGACCCCTTATGGGTGTTTTAGAGGCTTTTAATATTGCTTTTTAAAGAAATTTTAAAAATAATTGCGTAAGAGATATCTCCCTTTGTCAATCTGTGTGGAGACTTATATGCTCTCTATGTTTCAAGTATAGTATGTATAAGAAGAATACGTCCGGTTCTATGAGTCCCTTAAATTTGCCTATGGAGATTTCTATGTTACATTTGCAATCACCTATGTTCTATTATCTCAGAAGTCAAGAAAACAATTCTTGTGGATATTTCACATTAATAATGAGTCTAGCATTGTTTTTAGGTGGTTAGGTCAAGAAAATAAATTTTCTTAAAACAAAAGGGATTTTAGGGATCAGTACAGAAAAGAGTTTTTTGCCTGTAACTTTTTCAACTACCCATCAATCTTCAAAGTGATTTCGGTTTTGAGTTGAGTATAAGATGGGCAGTTTAAAAATGATGGGAGGTAGGGTCATTTTTTTTACCCCTTATAGGAGTTTTAGTGAATTGAAAAACAGTCGTTTCTCGCATACTTTGAATTATTATGAAAGAGTTATATCTCTTTGAGTAGCCGTTGATTAATATAGTAACTTTTTATGTTTTAATATTGATGTCATCAGAACTTAAAACATAATGAACCTTCTGAATTTTTATTATGTAATAACCAGTTCACTCTAAGATTCTGAATTTTTTAGGGGTCGAAAAGCCCTCCGTTTTTGTAGAACGACAAAAAAGGTCTAGTTATTTTATTATTTGGTCCAACATACATTTAAACCTATTTCGAGTATGCTGAATTCCAAAAAAATATGCTGGCCTTCATAAAAATGGCGTTAAAAAGGTCAAAATGGCGATTCAAAATGGCGGACATCTAATTTGTCTAATTTGCTTTAAATGTCGTTCAAAACGGAAAAATAATGTGTGAATATTTCACTGAATGTAATGCAACTATGCAAATTATTAAAGAGTGCTAATATTATTACTTTAACTCAAAATTTCAACAAAATTTAGTCGTTTCTACATTTAATTCAAACTTTATCTGATTTAATTGTCTATTGTTTCTCTATTCTGCTTTGTTCAAGGATTTTACGTTTGTAAATATCAATACACTGCACAATTGTATTTTTTTCCTCTGCAACTTACTAGTCTTCAACTGAATGATGGTGCAGCTGTAATTATTAGTCAAAATGGAGATTCAAAATGGCGGATATTCTTCTTTTTTTTTTTTTTTTAGCATTTCTTAATGTTTGAATAGGAGAAAGGATTTGGTGAATATCCTACTGGACTTTTGCGAAGACATTGACTTTTACAGTTGACGGCTTACTTGGACATTTGGACAAGGGAGGGTGTTGAGGGTAGGTATTTTACCTTTTCGTTCCTAGACTATGTAATATGATCTTTGAAATAGCCCGATATTATCGTTTTGTTAAATGTTAGGATCAATATTTTTTTCACAAAGAGCTCCCGTATATTTTCCTAGTGTAAAAGTAAGCCGTCAACTGTAAAAGTCAGTGTCTTCGCAAAAGTCCATTAAGCGTAGTTCAACTATGAAAGTGACAAAAGAACACTAATATTACACTTAAATTCGTAAAATTTGATCGCTTAAATTTGAAATGTGTTAATTAAATCAAAATGGCAATTCAAAATGACGAACTCTCAAA